AATCTATTCTTTTCATGATGTTTTCTCAAATCACCATGTCTGAGTAGTTTGTTAGTTAAGTTAGGGCTTTTCAAAGGTTGAAGAAGAGTTTGTAGAATTGCTAAAAACTTATAGGAAATTCATTGGTTCTTCATCTGTGCTTGCATTCATATCGATTTCTTAGACACATCATCTGGATTTCGAAACCCTAGGTTTTTGATAGATGTGAGAGCATTATTAATCACCTGAACTAGTATTAGATGAGCAAAACGCCCTAGTACAAAGAGATTTGGCTTAGGAGTTTTGTGAACAATTGAACCTGATCATTACTGCATGTTTAGGTTGTTACGGTTTGCAAAGAGATTTGAAACTCTGTGACTTAGACATAGATAACTTCTGCAATGAGAATTGATTAGTTATATCTTTGCGATTCATGTTCAATATGGTTTTAATTCATTCCTGATTGCATGCATTCTACACTCTCGGATTTAACCTGCGAACTGTCCTGACTTAGCGCCTTTAGCCTTCTGAACTTTAAGAACAAGCATAAAAACGCCCTCTTGCATTTATTTTACTGTTTTGCTTTACATTCATTATTTATCGCTTAGCTTAATCTGAATCTATAATCGCTAGTGTGGTTTACATACTCCCTTGGGATTCGATAACCCCTTGTACTACAACTTCTTTTGTTGTGCACTTGCAGTAGTTTTATTTGGGTAAAACCTGACCCTATCAAGTTTTTGGCGCCGTTTCTGGGGAGTAATAGCTGCGTATCGATTTTTAGTATTAGGATTTTGTCTAAGTTTTTATTTGTTTACTGACTTTTAGGTTCTTTTCTCTGTGCCTGTTTCAGGTGTATGCCTAATCGCAGAACCAGAAGCAACAAAGAGAAGGAGCTTGTGACTTTGAGCATCGACGAGCTTGCTAGGTTGGAGAGAACTAACAGGAAAGCTAAGAAGCAATCTACAATGGTCGCTCCACTTATCTTGGTTGAAGATGCAGAAGGTCACTTAGTTGACAGGGAAGGAAATAGGAGGAACGAAGAGGGGCAGAGAATTGATCAAGAGGGGAATGTCGTTGTTGAACAGCAGGTTCAGGAAGTGGCTGAGAATGTGGGAGTCCCTGTTGCTGTCAATAACGCTGCTGGGTGTTTTGTTCAGAGGACTTTAGGTGACTACAACAGACCTGATCAGTTCTATGCCAACAGAGCTGCAATCCGACCTCCTGCCTTCCAGAGGAACGATTTTGAGGTTAAACCTGTCTACTATCAGCTGGTTGGCCAGCATCCATTCCATGGTTTACCTCATGAGCATCCTATGGATCACATAGAGAGATTTGAGGACTTAGCTTCAAGTGTCAAAGCTATTGGAGTTAGCAATGACTTTCTGTTCTGCAAGCTTTTCCCTTACTCTCTTGGAGGAGAGGCTGCATATTGGCTGAAGCAACTGGAACCTGCTTCATTGACCACTTGGGAAGACACTAAGAACGCTTTTCTGAATAACTTCTATGATGATGCAAGGTCAGAGGACATGAGGACGAAAATTGCATCCTTTACACAAGGTCCTACTGAAGCTTTCAAGGCTTCTTGGATCAGGTTTAAGTCTTATCAAAGGGACTGTCCTCATCATGATTTCAATCAGGTGCAGCTGCTTGGTATCTTCTTCAGAGGCATTGACTGGAAATATCAGATTGCACTGGATGCTTCAAGTAGTGGAAACTTCAACACCAACAGACCAGAAGAAGCTGTAAGATTGATTGAAAACTTGGTCTGCAGTAACAGCACTAAGAATGCAGTTTTCAGAGAAAGCAGCAGGCTGGTTTGAATGATGGAAACCAAATAGCTGAAGTTAAGGCTAAGTTGGACAGCATGCACAGCCTTTTGGTGGGAAAGAAGTCAGTCCAATTCGCTGCAGAAGTGGAGAGTTTCGAAAATCCTGAAGACATTGAGCAGAAAGATGTTAACTTCATCAATGGAGGTTTTCAGAACCAAAGGTTTGAGAATTAACAGTGGAACAGAGGATTTAATGGCAACAATCAGAAGAACACATTCTCAGGAAACCAGAATGCTTTTGGTTATACTCCAATGCCACAGTTCCAGAAGACTGAAGTTGAGAAACCTTACCAAAACAGCAGGAATTATGGTTCTTCTTCCTACCAAACTGCACCTCCACAAGACAATAAAATGGAAGCTATACTGGAGCAGGTACTTGAAGGACAACAGAAGATGACAGTGAACTTCAATGGCAAGCTAGATTCGCTGTATCAAGACCTGAATGGAAAAATTGAGAGTCTGAACTCTCACATGAAGAAGCTTGATGTGCAGGTTGCTCAAACTGCAGGAGCTGTTCAAAGGCAAGAGGGATTCCTTCCTGGAAGGACTGATATCAATCCCAAGCATCAGGTTAATGCCATCACAATCAGGAATGAAAAGGAGCTTAAAACAGTGCAGAAAAAGAGGCTGAGTGCAGAGCAGATCGTGCAACTGATGGAGTCTGAAGATGAAAATTTTTCTGTCTCAGAGGTGAGTGACGAGCGTCACCAAGGAGGAGTGGCGCTCGTCACCAACCTACAAGGATATCGGGGGTTGTCACAAGTGAGTGACGAGCGTCACCTACCTGGTGACGGTCGTCACCCACCCCAGAACGAAGCTGCTTCGCCTGTAACTGCAAATTATGACCAGGAACGTGTCTATAAACCCAAAACACCATTTCCCAAGCATCCTAGGAAGTCTAAACAGGAGATAGAAGAAGCGAGATGCAAAGCTATGATAGACAAGCTGATGCTTGAGATCCCACTTGTTGATGCAGTCAAGCTTTCACCAGCTCTAAGAAGGTATGTAAAGAGGATGGTGGTCAATGGTGTAAGTCCTGAGGAAGGAGCATTGCTTACCAGAGACATCAGTGCAATTCTCTTAGGCACAGTTCCAAAGAAGAAGAAGAAGGTGACTGTTTCTGAACAAGTCAATACCATCACTCAAAGCAGAGTTCCAGAGAAGCTATCTGATCCAGGGACCTTTGTGCTTGATTGCTCAATATCTGCAGGACGTTTTCCACACTCTCTATGTGATCTAAGGTCAAGTATTAACTTGATGCCTTTTTCTGTTGCTGCTAGACTTGGAATGACTGATTTCAAGCCAGCTGGGATCTCTCTCATCCTAGCAGATCGATCCATAAGATGGATGGGTCACGCTCGCCACCCATTGAGGAAGGGGTCGTGGCCTGTTTTTAAAAGATTAGGAAGAAATTGCAGTTTTGGCCCAGAAGTTTCAGTTTTTGCAAAAAGGCTCCAGATCGTGTTTTAGCTTGTATATTAGGTTTTTCAGCCATTCTTTGGCAGATATCTTGTATCTTATTATTTTTGAGAGCTTTAGAGAGAGATTTGTAGCAGAGCTTTTGGAGAGACAAATCAGACTCCTTCAGAGCAGATTTTGAACTCATTTATTTCTACTTCTTATTTCTTTTATGCAATCTATTCTTTTCATGATGTTTTCTCAAATCACCATGTCTGAGTAGTTTATCAGTTAAGTTAGGGCTTTTCAAAGGTTGAAGAAGAGTTTGTAGAATTGCTAAAAACTTATAGGAAATTCATTGGTTCTTCATCTGTGCTTGCATTCATATCGATTTCTTAGACACATCATCTGGATTTCGAAACCCTAGGTTTTTGATAGATGTGAGAGCATTATTAATCACCTGAACTAGTATTAGATGAGCAAAACGCCCTAGTACAAAGAGATTTGGCTTAGGAGTTTTGTGAACAATTGAACCTGATCATTACTGCATGTTTAGGTTGTTAGGGTTTGCAAAGAGATTTGAAACTCTGTGACTTAGACATAGATAACTTCTGCAATGAGAATTGATTAGTTATATCTTTGCGATTCATGTTCAAGACGGTTTTAATTCATTCCTGATTGCATGCATTCTACACTCTCGGATTCAACCTGCGAACTGTCCTAACTTAGCGCCTTTAGCCTTCTGAACTTTAAAAACAAGCATAAAAACGCCCTCTTGCATTTATTTTACTGTTTTGCATTACATTCATTATTTATCGCTTAGCTTAATCTGAATCTATAATCGCTAGTGTGGTTTACATACTCCCTTGGGATTCGATAACCCCTTGTACTACAACTGCTTTTGCTGTGCACTTGCAGTAGTTTTATTTGGGTAAAACCTGACCCTATCAGTGACATGGATACAATCACCTTGATATGCCCTTCCCTGTCTCTTTGGTATCGATTTGTTGCAGAACCACATATCGATATGGTGTTGGACAATTTCTGGTTGCTTCTTTCTCAGCTCTCCTTGATTCTAGCTCATCCTTCAAACTCCAGCAAATCTGCACAAACTTTATAGTACCCAATAGAACACTCCAAATATAAAAAACATGCAAGTTATATGCCGAACACACTAACTCTAACATAAATGCATATTATATATATATAAGATAATTTATATGAATAAAACAATATTATGTTAAAATAATATAAATAATGTACTATCAAGAAGAAAATGAATAAAATACTGATTAAGAAACGATAAAAAAAAAAAAAAAAAAAAAAACAAAGCATTATAGTACGTGTGTATGTGTGTACTCTCACATGCAGTCTTCGTACAAAACAAAATAGGGATCCATGATCACTTCCTCTTAACTTTGTATACTTCAGATGTTTTTCTAATGTAGATATATACTGGAATAAAACGACTAATCTTGAAATTTATTGAAAAAATCGGATTTCCTTCATCTAAAACGTCTAAACTAACACCAAAAAGAAAAGAGTTAACGTGCTAATCGGTAGGTACTTTACTCTATTTATTTCAATATCATATCACATGAATTTTGTCAACCACGAGATTTGTCGACACCAAGATATCGTAGATCATCTACGATAAGATCTGCTTATAAGATCATTCACAATGAAATTTAAATATGATAATTTTACTTTGTCATGTTACATGTACACTAGCTGCACGTTAATGTAATCGAGATTTGCGACCCAAAAATAAATGAATAATTTTACGTTCTAAAATTTCTCTCTCAACGTGAAAAAATACTATAAATAAAAAGTCTCCCTCTCTGAGTTTTACATCTTGGTTTCATTTACGAATTTTCTTTCTTCCCATTTTTCAGCATACATAAATGACGTCATCCATGTTTAGATCTCCTTGCAAGATTCCGTCGATGAAAGGGCTTGAGCAGAAGAGCTACGTCGGCCTTAAAGCAGCGACGTATAATGTGAGAATCAATCCTTTCCGAAGCATAGAAGTTGCTTGTCAACTACAAAGATTCGACTCCGCCATGATATGGCCGGTACATGCTCATGAGGCACTTCTAGTGCCGAGTAAACCAGCAGCGCCTACAATTACAACTAAACCAGCCATGCCTCCAATGCCGAGTAAATTAGCTAAGCCATTGATTGATCAGCCTCTTGTAAGTGGACATAATTTTCTTAACCAACGTTGTAGGTCAACGGATGTACTACTTGACCATCTAAATGCAACTATACAAGTGTACTCATTAAGATCCTAGTACAAGCTAGCATTAATGGTGACAGAGAGAGGACCGAAATATCCAGTTTAACATGTTATGATTTCTGGTTTAAGGAGACTATGGACCTCGGGCCATATTTTCTTAGCTAGCCAAAAACAAAAAATAAAAGTGACATTTTTTTTCTTTTAAGCTTTCATACTTCTTTTGTCCTTCACAACCTCATGTGAGCTAAGTGGTTTCAGCAGCTAAACCAACGTCCACGTCGTAATCGCAAGTCCCCTACTCATAGGGCTGCCTTTCAAGAAAGTAATGTCTCTCCTGAAAATTTCATATATCCACTCTTCATTCATCAAGGTTAGTTCCCGGTTAAAAAAAAAAAAACTAATAGTTTTTGCGCATTAACATGTCTCTTTTTTGTACGTGAGTAAATACAGTGGAGTCTCGCAGGCAGTGGTAGATGTAGAAAACAAACAAAATCTATGGATAAAAAATTTGTATTATTTATTAATATTACCAAATTACACATTTATATTACATAATTAAGCAATAATATTGGTGCCACAAATTAATTTTTATAAATCCTATATGGGGCACTTGCCACACCCTCTAACAAGCAGCTGGATCCGCCCGTGCTCGCAGGTGAGGTAGACATTCCCATAAAAACGATGCCCGGGTGTTACATGCTTGGCTGGAGACACGGCCTCATCGAAGAAGTGAGTGTTGTGTCTTTTCACATACTTTGAGAGCTACATAATTGATTTCTTCTCATTTTATCTGTGAATCACTCTTGTGTGTGTTTTGGGAGGAATATAGGTTGCAAAGGCACGAGATGTTGGTGTGAATAGCATAATGTTGTACCCTAAAGTTCCTGTTGCGTTAATGGTTTCACAATTTTCTTCTTTATTAATATGAACCCTCATGAAGTCCACATACATCAATAATAGCCTTTCCCTTTGTTTAGTCTCCAACAGGGGAAGAGGCGTTCAACGACAACGGTCTAGTGCAACGAACAGTTCGTCTTCTCAAAGACAGATTCCTTGATCTCGTAAGATACATATATATACTCTTTGCTCACTAGCTAGAGGAAGTTGTCCTGAAAATGATAATGTCTCTTTTCTTTCTAAAGGTTATCTACGCTGATGTCAATTTTGATGAGTACTCGTTAAGTGGGCATGGTGGAATCGTAAGAGAAGATGGTTAGAAAAATATTTTGCACATCATTTTTTAAAAGAAAATAAGACTTTTGAGTGATTTAGGAAACATCAATCTATGTTTTATAGGCGTAATACTGAATGATGAAACAATTCACCAATTACGCAAACAAGCAGTTTCTCAGGTAAAAGTAAAACCCTTTTGAACCAAAATAATCAAAAACACTTAATCTAATAATAATGGATACAGGCTCGAGCTGGAACAGATGTTGTTTGTACCAGTGAAATGTTAGATGGGCGTGTAGGCGCGGTTCGTGCAGCTCTAGATGCTGAGGGCTTTCACCATGTTTCCATCATGTCTTACTCTGTCAAGTAAAAGACTACTTAACATCTCATCTTGCTTTATTTTCTTTAATTCCAACCTAATTAATTGTAATCACTATATCAACAGGTATACAAGTTCATTATACGGCCGTTTTCGCAAGGTGGAATTGGACAAGAAAACGTACTACAACCACTCTAGTCTTTATTTGTTTGTATACTTTTGCATTTACATGTTATATAGTATAATAACGCATTAGTACTTTTTCAAATGATACCATAACCTTCATTTATTTACTTTTTCTCAACTAAAAACGCAGAAGAAACTTTGCTTGTATTTATAGTATTTCGCTTACACTTTGTAGATATATATTTCATACAAAAATAAATAAGATTTCTTTTAAAATAATAAGAAAACTAGTATAATTGTAACCAGCTTATCGCGGTTTAGTGGTTGTTAGGATTTTGCCATGTGAATTTAGATTAGGGTTCGAATTCTTCTGCTACGATTTTAATTTAATCACAGATAACCACTGATATACGTTTTAGTGACAAGAAAATTTGGATTTCTATGAACTTTTTCGTGGGTTTAGTACGAGATTTGCGTTTGTACTATTATAAGCTAAATACATGAATAATTATGTGCATATGTATACATAAGGTTTCTTAGCTAGCCCTTCTAATCAAATTGTTGTTGTTAAAGTTATCAGATAAATCCAGCAAACTCAAGAGAGGCATTGATCGAAGCACGTGAAGACGAAGCTGAAGGAGCCGATATCCTAATGGTGAAACCAGCACTTCCTTCTCTTGATATCATACGTTTATTGAAGAACCAAACTCTATTGCCCATTGGAGCTTGCCAGGTTTCCGGTGAGTACTCCATGATAAAAGCTGCGGGACTTATGAAGATGATCGATGAGGAAAAAGTTATGATGGAATCATTGATCTGCCTACGTCGAGCTGGTGCAGATCTCATTCTTACCTACTTTGCTTTAGAAGCTGCTACAATAATATGCGGTGAGAATAGAAAACTTGTATTCAATTACTAATCGTTTGTTTGTTTGCGTCTTGAATAAATCTACAACCATAATTGTACCCTTAGCAGAACAATTTGATAATCATGAAATTCTTATAAAATCGATAACAAACGCACAAATTTGATTCTTGAACAACTAATCCAGCGTTGTTTCTTGCGATGTTATAAATTCGTTCTTATTTTTATTACATTTTCCACAAGGACCCACAAATATCCCAATTCCAACCAACAAAATCTTCAACCACAAATCTTTCTGTATGCTTGCGAATTCTGGTTTTTCTTATTGTAATTTTATTTTTGCAAATTAATTTCTACCCAAAAATTCTAAAACTTTATTTTTTTAAAATTAATGCAAAAATTAATTGTTTTAACTTTTAAAATTCTACATATTATTTTTTATTAGTTGACTGTGGATACCGAAATCCACACTCGGAAATTTATGTGTATTTGTAAGGAAATAACTTTAGAGGATTAAGGGCTAGATTCCTTCGAACATATTGAAAATATAAGATAGCAATAACTGAAATAAGGATTTTGTATTAATCGGTCGAATGAAACGATTACAAAGATCTCAATGAAAAAGATGAACTGAAAAGAGCTCTGGGAGCAGTTACAGTGTTTTCGGGTGTAAAAAGTGTGTAAAAAGATCAAGCCGAAGGTCCCTTGAACTAAACCGTTCTCCTTCTTTATATAGCTTGCCTCGTCGAGCTTCGAACTCCAACGCGTATCTCGGCCACGTGCAGCAGCCTCAGCCGGTTATCTCGCCACGTGCAGCAACTTCCTCTGCGATCTTCGGACTCATTTGAACTGGCGAGAATATGCTCTGACTCGGCTCGGATTCTTCCTCGTTTTTTGGGATTTGGTCGAGCTGGAGTTCGACCTCGTCGAACGGAATGAATTGTTGCTCAGGATCGGGTTGTTGAAAGGTGAATGGGGCTGGGCCGTAAGGTCGAAGTCCAGCCTTTTTGGCATAGTTTGGATCTGCCCGTTGGGCTTGAGTGGACCGGATTTGGGGTGTCAAATCTAGCTCCAACAATTGCTCCCCAGCCCATTAACGAGAGCGAACTCCAGCTTTAATGGGCGGCAAGATGGGACTTTTGAAAGATTTGGTGTTTGATTGTGCTGACATCACGGAGTCAGATAATCATTCGAGATCGACGGCTCAGATCTTGGAAAGGTGAACAGTTTATCGATCATGCGGCCAAGAATCGACCTCGAGACTGTAACTTGGCGTGTTGAGATAAATCTGTTATTATCACGTCCAGGTGGACGATCGAGATTCGAGCTAAATATTATTATTTACTTTTCTGTTTTGGCGTTCGAGCTTCGCGGGGCAAGGTGCATCCCTCGAGAAGATTAGCACTGAAGCTTGATGACGTGGACGGTTCGGATGGGGAGAGAGGAAGTCGATCTAACGGGAGCGCGTCAAATCGTCGAAGTCGAATATTCGACGGTTAGGATGGGAGGATCGAACGGTTGAGATTGGCGCGTGGCCAGATTTTCTGCGATCTTCGAGGTTGATAATAATTACCTCAATATAAAGCCCACCTTTTCCATTTCTTCTTTAACCGCATCAGTTCGTCGATTAAAGGTAACCTCCTCTTTCTCTTTCCTTTTATTTTCTGCAACTTCCCTTTTACGTAGTTTTCAGAAACCGTTCGCCGAGTTTTCCTCTAGAAAGGCTTCGACTTTTTAGTTTCTGGGTTTAGCGTTTGCCACCTTTTTTTTCCGATGTCGGCTATAGTGAAAATTGAGGGAGAAAAATCTGGGAGGACCGCCGTAGGTACTTCCAAGATCGACCAGAAAGCTCTCGACGACTTCCGTCGAGAATGCGAAATCCCCGCCGGGTTGAATTGGCCGTTCTGACGCCGGCGCAGACTCCAATGCACATGGAGACGAGTTTTTGTTGCGCGTACGCAACATATTTCTGGGATTGCGGGTTATTTTTCCCAATCCCTCGGTTCGTCCTCGAGGTGTTGACGGACTTGCGGCTGGCTTTCCCGTAGATGTGTCCAAACTTGGTTTGGGCCATCATCGGATGTGCCGTACGGGCCAAAGAGGAGAACGTCATCTTCCGTTACTCGGACTTGAGAGCGTTCTTCTCTGTCAAGTACAACGCCCGCCGTCCCGGGACTTTCTACGCGTCCCCGAGGTCGAACCGGCGGTTCATTGAGGAGAGTCCGGAGAAGGATTCTGGTTGGGAGAAAACCGGGTTTAAGTTCTGGATTAACGAGGCGTCCGTCGGGGACTTCGATTTCTCCCGGCTGCCAATCTAGTTCGCGGGCAACGATTGTTTAGCTAGGCTCGAGTGCTCGTTAGCTATGTTTGGTTTGATTTGCTCGAGTGATTTTTCTGACCCTTTGCTTGTTTTTGTCTATCAGGTCAGCTATCTAGAGCACACAAGGATCCCGATATCGAGCACCGGCTAAAGTTTTTCAGGCGAGGAGAGGTTGTCTGGAGCACGTTCACGCGAGAACGAGTTCGACGAGTTCTCTCACTACCAGCCCGGCTCCGATTATCGCACCCGGTAGGTCCCTCGGTTCCTTATTGTTTGGTGGGTTAGCGTAACGATTATTGCTCGCTGAATGACATGTTTTAACTTGTTTTGCTGGCAGCCGGAGTTCTTCCTCTTCATTCTATTTTACCTTCTTCTAGTTCAGCAAGTTCAAGTTCAGCGATGTCTCGCAAGCCCACCTTCCGTCAAAGAGCCGGAAAAGCCCCGGCTGGTCCCAGCAGCTCCAGGGTACGCTCCGGGAGCGTTAAGGAGGCCCTTGAGGCCGCGCTAGCCACAGCTTCTGCTTCTGCACATCACCTCCAGGACGAGGAGGTCGAGCAGATGATGAACCCTCAGCCTGATCCTTCCCCCAGATTAGTGGGGGCGATTTTCGTGAGCTCGGGCAAGACTGTGCAGCTCGCTGATGACCAGGAGCCCGAGCACGCTTCCCAGCCTACCTCCAAGAGGCCAAGAGACGACGGGGGAAGTCGTGCTGCTGAGCCGCGTCCGTCGGCGTCTAACGGAAGTGGTGGTTCGACGAGCAGTCGGCCTTTCCACTGGAAATTTGAGCACACCAAGGATCATCCGATCACGGATGACTCCGAGGGCATGGCGGCCATATGGCGTCATTTCAAGCCCGCTGGGTGCCAACTTCCAGCTCTCAAGAAAATGACTGAGAGGGAGCTCTACGTGGAGATGGCGGCGGCCCAGGGGAAAGGTACAGGGATACCCTTTGACTTGTGTAAAATTGGTTAAGTGTTGTTTATCTAAACGCTTTGGTTCTCGATGCTCGCAGGCTGCAGAGGCTGGGAACCGGCTATATGCTCGTCTTGAGCAAAGGCTGCGGGACGTTCCACATCCGGACGAGATCAAGGAAATGAAGGAGGTAGTCGGCAAGCTGAAGTCCGACCTAGAGGCCGCGAATGCGCAGGTCGCTCGCCAGACCAATTTCCTCAGGCAGTTCAAGGGCCAGCAAGCTCACATCACCGACCTCGAGAATGAGTTGGTTGACAAGGGCGAGAAGTTCAAGGTTGCCACCAACCAGATCTTCGAGGCTTAAGCCGCAGCGGAGCGAGCTCAACAGGAGGCCGCAATCTATAAGGAGGAGAATCTCCGTTTGGTCCGCGAGCGCGAGAGCGATGTCCGCAAGGCGAACCGCAAGGTTCGGAAGGATATGTCTCGGAGGCTCATGGAGGTGGTCGAGGTCTTCAACTGAATTGGGAGTGGAAGAAGGTCGAGGGTGTGGCCGAGTGCGATATCCAGGAATGTATTGCCAACAAGGGGATGCTCGAGCAGCTTGTCGCGAAGGCCACCACTATCGAGGAGGAGCTGGACAGGGTGACCAAAGAAGAGGAGGACTTGGGAGCGGTCTTTAGGGCTGCCCATGTCTCAGATTTCTCAATCAGCAGGCTGAATCTCCCCGTGAACTCCGAGGACTCAGTGGCTATGGACGTCGACCCGGTTTCAGGTGCGCCCGCTGGCCTTAATCAGTTTGGTACGAATGTGGAGGAAGGAGGAAACGACAAGGCGAGGAGGGAGGACGACGACGAGAATGCGGGTGGCTAGCTCGACAGTTGGCCGTGGCTCATTTCTCTTTCCCTTCCCTTTTTTTTTTAAATTTAATTTTCGAACATGGTTGCCCAGCGGGGCTTTTACGCTTGTTCTGGTACCCGGGAGGGCTTTAATCCTTTTATTTTTCAAACTCATTCGTGCCCGAAAGGGCTTTTGTTTAATGCAATCGGGCTTTATGCCTTAGATTTTGTTTATCTTTTGTCTCTTGCATTTTTTTCGAGTAGGATATTTGCTAAGTCATTTAATAACTTAGGGAAGTGGACTAGGGTTGTTAAGCTCGAGGCTTAGGTTGCTAGTCATGAGTTCGATGCTCGATTTATCGGGCCTAGATAAAACGATTAGGTCGCGAAGGGCGATCTATTTATTTTGAGAAAAATGGCTAAGTTTTTTAGCTCGACTTTTCTTTAGTTTTTAGAATATGGATCGAACTGCTTCGCGGTGAAGTTTTGGTGTTTGAGGTGGAGTTTTCTTTCTTTTGAGCTAGGGATTTCTTAGTTTCGGCTTTGAGATGGAGAAGGGGGTTTGATTTTGTTCTGAGTTCCAAACATAGGGCTCGGTCGTCCCTGTCGAACTGCAAGCTGCGTTGGGCTCGTCGATTCGAGGTCCGGAGCTCCGGCTATGGTTGAAGTCAAATTGTAAATATGGCCGCACCTGTGAAGTGGAGTATGACTCCGAACTTAGTTGTTTTGCGAAATGAGAAGCGTGTAACTTGTGCTGCTTGGGAAGGCATCTAGGATAGGTGGCTCCCCCCCCCCCCGGAGGAGTGAGGTAAGTGTGTATTGTAGCTCGCTTATGTCTAGGTGTGGGAGGTTGGGAGTGCTTGGGCTTCGAGGTCGGTGAAATAGGACTTTACCCCCCCCCTCCAAACGAGTGAGCGATGCGTGAGCTAGAGCTTGCTTGAACGAGGTGTGGGTGGGCGGGCTATGTTTTGACCTCGAAGACGAGCTGCGGAGCTCGCGTTTGTTTTGAATGTAATTCAACTTATAGATGTATAACGAGGGTGGTCCGAACTGTTTTGGTTCGTGATCTCGGTGATTACTGATTTCATTG